AAAAAAAAAAAGTTGGACCCGACCCGATTTGAATCGGGTCGGGTCGTGAAAAGCTCAAAACCAAGTATGTTGGGTCGGTTTTGGGCCAGACCCAGCCCGACCCGACCCAATGCTCACCCCTACTTTTTAATAAAATATTTTCCTAAAAATCACCATTCAAAACTCTATTTTTCTTAGATAATGGTTGTCAAACATGTGTTTTGTGCAAAAATACACATCACTAGCCTATATCTAATGAGGTAGCATTCAAGTATCTCACCTGAGTTTATGATATCACGATTTTCACAAATGGACGGAAGACTTCTTTAAAAAGGATAATGAAGTTTCAACATCAATACAAACAAGGGTCTGTTCAATTGATTAAACCCCGTTTGATTCTCTTTATTTTACTTTAATTTATTTTTCATATTCATTTTCAACTATATATTCACATAATAAAATATTTTACACGTAAACTTAAATTTTTTCCCTACTTTTTAACTACACATCCTCCAAAAATTACTATAGAAAACTATGTTTTTAAACTTTTAATGCCACAAAACAAGGGATGATCGTGATGAAGACCCAAAGTGATCAAATGTTAGCAATGCACTTGCAGCTACGTTTCATCCTCATGAATAATAACATTCAAAAAATATATCATCTATTAGTAATATTAAAATATATTGATATTTGAACTTAACCATTGACAACATATAAAATAGAAAATATAGAAAGAATAAAAATTTTGAGTGATATCGAAGGATAAAGGTTGCGAAAACATGAAGACAACATTTTCGTTGATAATCGTTGACGGAGGTGAGCCTATAATTATCGACAAATATGGATTTTCATTAATATCTTAGATAGCATATACCTAAGAACTTAAATGCCTAGCGTGTGTGTGCATGTGTGTGTGATATGCTAAGATATATATATATGCGACCAAAAGATTATCAACCAGCGTTCCAAGGTCACTCGAGGTTAGGAATGAACCCATTGGTGTTGAGAGTATGAAGGCAATCGAGCCATGATAGACGATAGGACCAAGGTGACCTCTGGGCCCAATAAGCCATATCTTGAGGTCACATCAGTAATCAAGGAAAATTTATCCTCACATTGCAAAACATTTTGCGTACCAAATAGAGATGTCAATATGGCTCGTCGGCTTGAGCGGCCCGTAGCTCGGCCCGGGAAAAGCTCTAGTGGGCTCGCAGCTTGTTGGAATCGAGCCAGGCTTGGGCCAAGCCTCATTTTTGAGATTTGGCCCAAGCTTGAGCAGGTCCTGTCAGCCATACCAACAAGGGCCAAAATTGACCCGTGTCTTGGAAATAAAGTAGCTACTTCCTTTAAAAGCGATTGGAGATGATATGCCTTCCAAGTCTTTTAATCCAAATGTAATGTCTTCCATGTTGTAGAGAGTTGTCTTTTGAGTTGAACTGTATCGCCGAGCATATTGTGTATGCCCAATGTTTGAATCTCCTCCCGAGATTATCACCCTAACTATAATATTGATAGTACCTGTTGTGGGTTGGTTACCTCCCCTAGATTTGGAGTCTTTCCTTTGTTGTGATCATTTTTGGGACGATTGTTTTGCCCGATAAACGTCTTTAGAAATCCTCTTCTTATCAGTGCTTCAATCTCTCGCTGTAATTTTATGCATTTCTCTGTGGTATGCCCATAATCACGATGATAGTCACAATACTTGCTCTTATCCCTGGTGTTAGGGGGAGATCGCAACGTCGGTAGCCATTTAAGATCCTTCATGTCTTTGATCTCCATCAGTATATTGGTCCTATAGGTATTCAGACGAGTAAATAGTATAGGTGGTATTTCCTATCTTTGCTTACCCCGAGCATTATCTTGTCGCATATTTAACTCATATGGCCTCTTATGTTCAAGCTTATCAGAGGCCTGGCCAGATTTCATTATTTCCGCCATGTTGATGTATTTTTCTCCTCGGGTGAGGAGCTCAGTCATTAAGCTTGAAAGCTTTACACCTTATTATTGCATACATTAAAGTCGAGACAGCTAATGTAATGCGAAGGTTGGGTATCTGTAGCCTTTATTTATTAAACTTTGTCATAAAGTTGCGTAGCGAACCAATCCCTGGTAGCATTAGTCAAAGTTTGAGAAAAGGTCTTGCATATTACTGGGTTTGGCGTGACCTGTAAATTCATGACATCCATATATACATTGAGGTTATTGATGGGGTTAGTGATCCCATCGTACTCCTTTATGCGAGAAAATTTAAACTTGCCCGAAAGTGGATAGGAGAGTACCTCATGTGTGAATGGAGTGTTAAAGGTAAATGTTGTTGTTCTTTGGGTATTCTATAGTAGTCCAGCTGTATTCTCCTCATGTATGATCCAGGTGAGTTCGTCTGAGTCCATAGTAACCAATCTCAAGGTCGAGGGCACTGGAGGTGTATCTTAGGCTCCTGATCCACCATTATCGTGGGTGTCGTCATGTGTGTCCCGAGGTCGAGCATCGGCCATGAAACCTCCTGATGGTGCCGGTATTAGTGCCAGTGCAAGATGAGAATTTCTTTCACTAAGCAATTAAGTCAGTTCTTCGAATGCTCCGACGGTAATCATGTTGGTTGGGGAGCTTGTATTTCTGATGATTCTTCTTGATGTATTGGGGATCTGCAATAGGAGGTGGGTTTAGAGTGAATGAGCTCGCTAGAAGAAGACCTAAGTGTGTATTAACCGTCGCTTTTGGTAGCGTTTTCCATAGACAATGCTAATGATGCTATCAAAAATCGTACATGTTGATTTTCGAGATTTTTGATCGTACATATTGATTTTCGAGATTGAGGATTAAGAATGAGCACGAATAGAATTTTCTAGTACCTGAAACGAAGGTGCCAAAGTATGTCCTTGTCACCCCTTTGATACTTAAGTTAGCAAAAAGAGAATTTATGCAAGATGCTATAAACTGAAAATTATGAAAAGGATACCTGAATAATGAATAGAAGCTTTGTATTTATAGAGGTAGGTAGAACATTTCTGCCAGGATTAGACTGTTGAAGTCCTTAGGAGTTCTACCATGCTTAGAAGTTGTAACTTGATTGATTTTGTATNACATTCCCTATATGACTTGATTAGCTAAGTATCCTTATCCTTAAAAGTCCTACTTGAGATGAGTATTGGATTACAATTTTAAGTCTAATCATAATTTAACTATAATATTTATCGAGATGGACTCCTTGGCATAGGAGTCTTGAATTAAGATGTTTAGATAGGTTTAGAATCCTTGAAAAGTAGGATACATGTGTGTTTAGGCAGGAAGGCCTTTGAGTTTGGCAAAGGAAGACGCTTGAGGACACAACATATTTTGTTCAAAATATCTCGAGGACTCACCCCAAGGATGGTCATCACCAAATATTGTAAGAACTATCGTGCTAGTCCTCAAGGCATCTCAAGGAGTACTTCAACCTCGAGGATGAGGCGTCTCATATTAGTGAATATCGATCGTCGAGACTATAGAGCTCGAGCTGAACAATTATAACAATATCAGATGACTCTGTGGGAATGTTGCTAAATTAGCTAGGGCCTAGGCTATCAAAGTGGACTTCAAACCAGAAATATTTGTCAAAAAATACTTAGCCCCCTTTTTGTTTGGATTAAAATCAAATTAAAATTTCAAGTCAAAATTAATAACCAAACATTTCATAAGACTCACAACTTCTGCCAAAATCTATTAAAAATCTGATTTTAATCTCCACCAAGTAGTAGCTTATAGAATACTTGTCATCTCTTTGGAGTTAAAGCTACGCCTGAAAAGTAGACATTTTGATGGAGCTCTGGCAGGTCATTCTCATGCTTTAGCACGTTGATCACTGCGCAAAATACTCAGAGTGCATCCATTGTTCTAGCTGTGGATATTCTCCACAGTTTCTTGTGATATTGTGTGAACTTGATTTGCTCATTCGATGAACTCATATCATTCGATTACAATAAAATAATATTATTCTCATTAGTGTGTGAAACATGCCGGCATCGCATATTTCTTTTAAGATGTTATATTTCTAGACGTGTTCAAAAGTGAACGCAAATGTGTAATGCTAAAGCATCAACCCAAAAAGGACATCGAAAAAGCCTATAAAAATAAGAAAGCATAGATTCATTTATAGAGCAAACGTGCATATATACATGAGAACTAACTCAACTAAGTGAATATTGCATAAACTTTCAAGTAAAACTTTATGGTAAGTGGTAATAGTAATTACTGGATATAAACTTATGAAACTCTAGGAGAGATTCGAGCTCGCAATGGATTCTTCATGACAGTGGTAAACTCTTGCTTCTCAGACAGATCAATATCGTCTCCATCAAGGGCGGTCCATTTAAAGTACCAAATCAGATTGGCAACAAAGTACTCCAAGTGAAGTAGAGCCAGAGCCCACCCGGGACATATTCTCCTGCCTGCACCAAATGGCATCATCTTGATCTCTCTACTCCCCGTTATATCAAACGCTTCCCCACCATCCGCTAGGAACCTTTCGGGATTGAATTGCATCGGATCCTCCCACACTTTTGGATCCAAACCCATGTCCGCCACCATGAAATTCACAAGGCTGTTCTTCGGGATCACATAACCATCCAATTCAACTTCCTCTGTCACCCGATGGGGCAACAAGAAGTGCCCTGGCGGGTGGCGCCTCAATGCTTCTAACACAACTGCCTTCAAGTATGGCATCTTCTGTAAATCCTCATCCTTTACCATTTGCTGCATACTTGACTCTTTGTTACTAGACATTGCCATTGCTGGATGCAGTCCCACAACTTCAATTATCTCATCGTAAAGCTTGGATTGAATCTCGGGCTGTTTAACCAAGTTAGCCATGATCCACTGCAAAGCCGTGGCAGTGGTATCGGTGCCTGCACTGAGAAATTCACTGCATAGACTCACCATTTCCCTTTCATCGAGGTTTCTGTTTTCCTCAGGTAGCTTCAAGTCTGCCAGCGAGTCTACATATGCGACCACTTCGGCCTCTTGCCCCTCAGTTTGATTGATAGGCCTTTCTTTGGCTTGGAGACGAGTTCTAATCAGAGGGATAAAAACGTTTTCCTGTTCTTGGCGTAGTCGAATCAGCTCATTCCAGCGATTACGAAACAAAATTTTCCCCAATCGAGGCCAGAAGTTGAGCACATCAAATCTACGAAAATTCAAAAGCAATCGCCTCTGTATGGTTTCAATTTCTGTAATTTGATTCTCACGGAGCTTGTCCCCAAAGCACATGAACACCAACAGAGAGAACATAGCAAAATGAAAATGATGGATTACGCTCACAAACGATTCCGACGACTGCGCCACCACAAGCCGCTGAATAAGACCACCAAGAACCCATCCACGGGACATGGAGTACGACTTCACACGGGAGGGCTGTAAAATCTCG